TGCCAGCACACCAGGGAGACCCGAGCAAAGCTGGAACCTGAATCTTGGAGGAGAACCAGAACCTTGTATAAACAAACTTTGTACTTTTTTCTCCATTAAAAATAATGCCTCTATTTATGCTTTCATTTATGACTAACTACTAGATGATCACATAAGTACTGTAGTTTAACTGTTTCCTTTTTTTGTTTACTTTTAACATTATTAAATGTTTGTGTATATATTCATTGATAAACTGTTAATGTAAACAATTTGATGATAGAGTTGTGAGTTAAAATTATCTTATTGTAGTGATCTCTGTAATGTTCTCTGAAATGTTCTGAATTTGAAAACTGAAAGACAGAAATTTAATAACATATCAGTACATATTTATTAAAGCAATTATATATCTTGATGTTTAAATAGATTAACTTTTCACTATTACGTATGTCGAGCTCTATTTGGATGAAAATTCTAATTAAATTAAAATGTACAAAACAGCATTTTAATTTTTGTATTAAATAACCTACCTTAAACTAGTTTATTAAATTGGGGAAGCACTGTCTGTAGATAATGAATTGAGCTATTTCTGGGCCCTGTGTTTTTTCCTGCTTGGTGTGGGTGTGGAGAATGGCTTGCCTAAGAATTCCCCATGGTCATTGCCATTTTCCCCCAGAGAAGATCATCAAAAGGAAGGCACTGATGCCCTTCTCTGCTGCTGAAGAAAAAGCACCAGCAATCTGGTGAGCACCATTTGGTATCTAACTCTTAATGCAGTTTAGATGTAGCTAAGATTACTTTTTTTTTTTTTTTCACAAGAAAAACTGGCATCACTGTGGGGAAATTCTGGTTCCAGCATCTTAAGTTCTTCCTGTGATTTAAAGCCCTTTGAAATCAAAGAAAAGCTTTCTGTTAATTTAAATGGGCTGTGAATTAGTCTTGATGAGATATTTTATAGCCTTTCTTTTACTTTTTAGGCTGCACTGCCTTTTACAGCATATTCAAAAAAGCCCAAGCTAATTTCAAGACAAGTGTATTTGAAAAATGGTTTCCACCACTCATCATTGCTTGCCCTCACACTTTCTCTTGCATGACAGCCAGATTTCACAATTTGAGTATTTGCATTTACAATGCATGTGTTTGTGCTACATATGTTAAATTACGATTAATCTGCTAATCAGGTAGTTGATGGCATTTCCATCAACTACTTGATTAATCGATAAAGCAGGGGAGGCACTTGCTACCCCCGCTGTGGCACTGCAGTATAAATGTGGTAGGAGCTGAGCTCCTACTACATCGGGGTGGTCAATCCGCAGCTCGAGCTGCATATGGCTCTTGCTAGTTCTGTGCACGTGCCCCATGGCCTGCTCACGGCTGACTGCTCTGTGCACGCGCGCCCAACACCTAGATGGAGAAGTGTGTGGTGGTGGCTCTGGGATCCAAGCATTGGGATAAAGGAGGAGGGGGTAATTGGGGTGCCTGGCTCTGGGGGAGGGAGGAGGCATTGGGGGCTGAAGCACCTTAAACTCAAAGTCTTCATGGATACAGAATAAAGCAGCCAATACAGCTGTCATATTTAAAGTCCAGGGCAAAAAAAAGAATCAGCATGGACCTGGTTTACGCTTTTGTGGGCACAACCCGCTTCTTCTGACAGGAGTGTTGGGAGTCCAGATCCAAGAATAATTTATTAGTATAGTTCGTTCTTGGATCTGGACTTCCAACACTCATGTCATCTGAAGAAGTCTTTAAGGTTTTAGTAGACTATAAGTTTTTCCTGTTATAGACTAACTCAGCTATTCCTCTGAAGCTGGTTTACACTGTGTTTCTTTAAAGAAAATTCAAGGCTATTGTTTGCTAGGCTGAAGCAATTATTCTGAGATTCTCTCCCTTATTGTTTTTGAACCTCTCATATTTGCAGTCTGGGACAGACCTAAATTTTTAAAACCATAAAAGAAGCCATAATCTTCATACGTAAAAAAATGAGGAAACCATACCAGAGTTGAACAAGGTGGAGTGAAACAGGCACTTTTAATTGTTAATTTACTGCCCTATTATGTCCTGTGAGATTTTTAAAACTAAACTGAACTGAGAAGTATTGTTAAATTTAAAATACAGTAGAACTCCAGTTGTCCGGCATCCAGTGGTCTGGCACTCCTGCTAGTCCGGCACCACCTGAAACCCGGAAGTGCTCCAGGCAGCCGGACAATTGGAGCTGCTCTGCACCGGAGTCAGCTGCTGGTCAGTTTCAGCAGCGGCTGACTTGGGAAAGTCTGGGGCAGAGCAGCTAGGATGCTGCCAGGTTGGTCTCGCAGCGCTGCCCCCCATCCATCCCAGGCCCATTATAGCCCCCTGTAAATGTATGGCACCGTGCGCCCTGGTATCACCTAGTAACACTCCCCTGTCCCCATGTTTCCTTCACCGTTTCGAGCACCCTCTGGTGTCTGAGTCTGTTTTGACCAAGGCTCACAGGGCCCTAGCTCGCCTGGGGTTTTCTGACCCTTAAGCGGGAGCCAGTCTCGCACCGACCGCGGGTAGAGGGGGGTCCGGGCCCGCCCCCTCACAGACCTCAGCCCAGGGCCCTAATGACACGGACGCTTCTATTGTCTGGTACTCACCAGCCCACAGGCTCCCTTTGCCTGCCCTGGGCTACTTCCTCTCTCTGCGGTCAAATATCTCCTTGCCTCCGGGCTCACCTCCTCGTCTTGAGTTCCATCCGCCGCTGGTCCCTGGCGAGAGGCCGCTGCCCTGGGCCTTCTCTCTGTGGCATTTCCCGGGGTTTAAATCCCTGCGCCGGCTCCCGTCCTGTGGGGTCCTGCCCCTTCCCGCTTGGCCCCACTTCCGGTCCATTGGCAAGGCCGTGGTCCGGCGTCGTTCCCCTCACGTCGGCCCCCGACCTCCAGGAGGTACGTGGGTGTCCTGCTGGGGCTGCCGCGCAGGAACAGCTGCCGCACAGCTGGTAGGCCGGCCCCTGCACCACTCGGCCCACAGCATGCGGCGTGGCCGACGCCGTTACCCCGCCCTCTGCCCCGAGAGCTGCCAGATAAGCGGCCGCCGGTGGGACTGGAGTGCGGGACATCTCCGCCCCGTCAAACCCCCCCTTTCGATAGTCCGGCATATCCGATAATCCGGCACTCCCTGGGTCCTAAAGGTGCTGGATTACACTGCTGTACAGCCAAAATGCTTCTGAAATAAATGTAGTCAAATGTTACTAATTCTGGGTCACTGAGAACAAAAGTGATGCTTAAAATTGTTGATTGGCTCTAGTTTTCAAGATATGCGATTGGGTCAGTATATACGACCTTTGACTTGCAAATGGCAGAGGATAAGTGAGTTATAAAGGGAAGGGATCTCAATTTAAACCAGAAATGACTAAAATACATCTTTGACTGGATCTATGCATAAATCTATGACTGGGTTTGGACAGTACTTGCTTTTTAGGCAAAACAATGAATGATGCAATCTGAAGCTGGTTTTGCGTCATACATGATATGAATTGCATCATGTTATTCCTAGAAGTCATGGACGATGCAATCATAACGAAGCTTACATCACTTTGCTGAACAAATTGCCCTATATCAGCTCTAGAAATCATACAGTGTTGTGTCTCTTATTTGATATTGCAAAGGGACACATTTCTGTTTAGCCAAAGTGAGCAGAGATGCCTCGTACTTGTGTGAACAGTGCAGATCACTTCTGCTATGTTTGTGGTGAAGTGACTTTTGCATCACAAATGCGCAGTATAACCACTATGGTTAAGAAAGCCGATCACCTTTATTTTGGCTGCAAAATTGGAGATCAGGACAAGAGATGGGCCCCACACATATGCTGCAACACTTGTGCAACAAATCTTTGCCAGTGGTTGAACAGGAAAAGGAAATCTATGCCTTTTGCAGTGCCAATGATTTGGAGAGAGCCAACAGATCATACCAGCAAGTGTTACTTCTGCCTGGTGCCTCCAGTTGGGAAAGGTGTGTCAAAGAAGAAAAAGTGGACTGTCCATTATCCAAACATTCCATCAGCTATACGCCCAGTACCCCACGGAGAAGGACTGCT